CGAGGATTTGCGCGAAACTGCTGCCCAAGATTTAGTGATCGGTTGATCAACACTGATCAACTGATTGATTGGTTTAGTAAGTTGACCGATTGATTGATTAATTGATCAGCTGGTTACCGAGACCGAGAGCTTATAAAACACTCGCAACTGAGCATAGGCAGCTTATCCGTTTGTATCAGTGATTACTGCCATTGGCATATCCAAGGGAGGGACGATAGGTCTAAAGCTAAAACTGAAGAAAACTGTCTTCCGCACTCGCCTTTGTTGCCTCACTGTCTAGGAGCCCGACTAATCCACCTCCTCCCTCCAGGAAGAAACCCTGGATCCGCTTATGATTACCGCAGGAGTTCCCATACAAAGTTCAGACAGTCCCTGATGATTAGAAAGCATGAATCATTTTCTGGGCTCCACGTATTTTGTTTTTTTTTTTTGGCGTAAAAATCGTATTTCTCATATTTCGGGCTGTTGTGATAAACACTACGACCATGCAAGAAAGTAAAAATCATGATTGGGTAGGGCACGTCGCTGGTTTTGCTGGCTTCGGGTGGCTTTCGCTTGGCGTTTAATTAAATAGGCGGTAGTTACTGACCGAAAGCATTTAATTCAGGATAGGAAGTGCTGTTTTGGTATTTAGGTACAATCCAGTAAAATCATTAACATCGACTTCGTAAACTTCATCATCTGTTGTCTGGGCGGCGATCGTGTTAAACCTGGTAGTGTCCAGCATTACTATTTTTTTTGCTAAAATAATAATACTAATAATCGTACGTGGTGATTTTTATCTTCTGCAATGATGATACTCAGCTTTTGCCTCAACAACAACAGCAATGTCTGACGCTCCTCGAGCAATTATCGTTGCTCCAGCAAATACCCGGTTTGCTCTAGAAATTTCGATACAAAATTTTCGGAAATAGTAATTTTCGCTAAATTTCCAGCATAGTAATTTCTGGTTAATTACCGATATAATAATGTCCGACAAGTTTCCGGTAATTTTTGATATAGTATATCCAGTTGAGTATTTTTTCCCATTAAAACGATTCTTGGTACAGTGATCGAGTTACGGTAGCCACAGTAATAGAGTTACGGTAGCCACCGTAATGTGGCTACGGTAAAGCGTTACAGTATCGCTACAGAAATGCCTTGCTATAAAAATATGCGGTATTTTTTTTGACAGTAAATTCGTTGTGTCATCTTTCAGACT